CCCCCCCCCCCCCCGCCCTTTCTCAGTTTCTGCTTCCTGCCAGCCTGCCTTCCGAACTGATTCATATGCTTCTGAATACATTTTGACTTTTCCATGGGTCTCCCAATTTGATTCGGCTGCCAAATCAGGCCGGATACTCCTCCGCATCAAACTGGCTACCAAAGCTTCGCGCGGCCCTAATAGTTACCAAGAACCACTCGATAATCTTAACCCCTTTTTAAATATTCCTCAAGTTCCAGCATAAAACAATTTTAAAAAAAGAAGTATTACATTTGTCTAATTAACAAACAAACACATTTTGTAGGTAGGATCTGGTGGCATTCATTTATTTGAATTCTATACTTTAACTGAGAACAGCAAGGGGGGTGGGGGAAGGAGGGGAGACAGACTCACAAACGAAGACTGCAAACTAACGCCCTATCCTACAACAGAAGAAATTTTAAAAGTTTGTATTTAAACACACATACTTTTTACAACTGAGGGAGGGAAAGTCTTGCTAACTATTACTTCATTTATCTTCCTTGCACATACATACTCTATTGCTGTCTTCACAATCATTACTGTATATATTTCAGCAGAACACAATAGTAAACCACCTCATTATAAAATAGGGCAAAAAATCATGATATATATTTTAAGGCACCAGTATTTTAAAGAAGAAAAACAGAATTTAATAATGGGAGACAACTGTCCTCAGTTCAGGGTCATCAATTTGGGTAATACAGAATTTTCTGCTTCCAGATGATGTGTGCTGAGTCATCAGTACAGAAGGTACTTGAAGTCCCTTCTAGTGTCTTGTCACTACTGGAGATATAATCCAGTGATTAAAAAAACCTGCCCAACTAGCAAATACCATGTTAACTCACATGCCATAGGCAACTTTCCCCACCAGAAGTTAGTCCTGCAACACTAGGGTATGTGACTGAAGCAGGGCAGCTGGTTTCTGTGCCAGAATGGAAGTCTAGGGAGTTTCCCCTCACTTCTCGCCCACCCACCAAGGAGCAGCAGCAGTTCACACTTCAACACAAAGAGATAGATTATAATCCCCTCTCAGCTGCTGCCAAATTGGTAGTAGCTTTTGGCTAAGCAGCCAAAGCTGCTGCCTATAGAGCCATGGTTGTGAGAAGGTTAGAATTCTAGCTTTTGTCTGAGCAGGAGAGTGAAGGTATGCGAGTTGAAGAGCAAGCTCTACCCCAACCAAGAGGTCAGCTTTTGGCCACGACTAAAAATAAAACCAAAACTCTCAATTCATTCTGCCTTCCAAAAAAGGGTGTTCCCATTATTTGGGGGGGGGGGGTGTAGTATTCAAGAAAATATGATAATATAGCTAAATTCACAATCAAGCACCACAGGATAGTACTGACACAACTTCATAGACCATTAATAATTTGTCACAGGTTCTAAACCTGGTGTATTAGGTTGAAGAATCTGAACTACTTTCAGTAGACAACCCTTCTTTTCAAGGAGATAATTTCCTGCTGGTGAAGCAAAAATGCGGATGTCTGGCAATTCACACAAGTAGAAAAATATCATTTTTGACATAAGCTTCACTAATATACCACTTACCTGATGTGGTAAAGAGAACTTAGCATTGTAGGTGAATAACAAACAACAAAGCTGCCAAGGAGGGATTCAACCTAACTTTCCCATAATTCCCATTACCAAAAGACTACAGTTTCAAAGCAAATGTTCAATTATAATAATTATTTATAAATTGTCATAGATGTACTCAAGGTTGGGCAATGGAAGTGCACAAATATTAAAATTACAAACACATCTATATATTCACTTCCTTGAATTCTCCAATAAATCTAACTCATTTCCAAATACTGACTGCCATACCACAGAAACTAAAATAAAGTGTAGAAAGAACAGGTCAAGATGGATGGACAGTTTGTGGCCCAAGTGTTAGCCTTTGGTGCAAGGATACCTTACAGATCTCTTCTTCTACGCCCCAATTTCCCCCTTCCCTCCAATTTTTAAAACTGAAACAGAGCTGTGCTTATATAATACAGTATGAGACTATAACATTATCCAAAAGTAAGAAAGTGTATTTTCTCTTGAGCAGAAGATCTATTGTAAGCATGAAGCATACCAGCATTAAGTCCTCTGACTGGAGCCAGTTAGGCTGTTCAGTAGCTTGGCTCAGTGCCTGGAATAGCGTTGCTCTGAGAGCACAATAGTTATCACCTCTTACTCTCCTTATACAGGCAAATTTCTGAGAAACTGCTTCATATCCCTATTAAAAACAAATGAAAACAAAAAACAGAAAACCAAATTGATTATACAAATAAACACAAAAACATTTTTTCATTCATTCTAATTCAAATGTCTGTATCAAGAGACAACATTTTAGAGCCATCTAAAAGAGCCAACACCTTGTGTTTCACTACTCCACAAAAAATAGTCAAATACTTCTGAAACAAATGTATAAGGACAAGTTACGCAAAAGAAACACAATACAGCTATTCAGCAGAACGGAACTGTAACAGATATTTCTATATATCAAAAACAAAAGCTTAAACAGAAAGCTCACACTCATTGGTGAGACTGCTTGGTCTGAACCCTAGCCCTTTGAAGATCGGTATCACAAGACATTACCATCTATAGATGCCAAGTAAATTAAAAGGCATATAACTATCATAACTGACATGTTACTCAAAACATGAAGAATGAACCTAAAATAGCCTTCTACAAGCTGCTGGTGTCCTCACCAAGGTCCCTGACACACATTACATTTAAAATATGATTAGCAAGTTAACTGCACCTTAAAGAGTAACCCAGCCACACATTCAAATCAATTTAAGGCATGATAATACAGTAAACAAGCCTCAAAGTTATTCCACATATAACATGTAGCAAAACTTTGAGGCTTGTTTGTATCACAACTTAAACTAAACATATAGCTGGTTGAGACTGGTCTATGACAGATCCCACTGTTCAACTGAGTGTCAAGGTCCAGCTTGGTATAGCCCCAGGGTCTGGGACACACAGGTGGGGGCAGAACCAGTACCCTGGACCTCTGCCCAAGCCCCAGAGGAAGATGGGGGTGCCACCACGATCCTGAGGATATCCCCACGCACTCAGAATGTAAGAGAACTACTTGTGCAGCCCAGCTGCATGCATGATTTTTTTTTTAAAGTTGCAACAGCAACAGAAGCCTGGGATCAGGGAGGATCTCTCTGATCTCCAGATCCCCATATGCCAGGACTTGTAAAAACTATGTGAGCCACCGAGCTGGGATTTTGGCAATCAGCTGATTGTTGGCTGGGGCCAGTTCTATACCCCCACTTGGTCCCTAGCCCCAACTAACAGTCAGTTGATTGTGAGTATCTGGCTTTTAAATGGCCAATCCAGGGAAATATGGTGTGGTTGGGGATCTGAACCCTGATGCCAAAAATCATGTCTTCCCATTTACATGAGACATAGTAGGAGACATGATTACCAGCATAGCGGATCAGATCCCATCACGCCTTTAAGTGAACATCTGTCAGTGGTTCAATATATGACTCATTAGTAGCACACAGAGAAGCTTGTACTAACACTGCACTGTTGTTTTCAGTATTTACAATATTAAATTAAAATGGCTTAACTTGAACTGTTAAAAATGCATTTCCTCTAAAATTCATACAAAACAGAAAACTACTGAATAATAAACTATGGTATCTCCATTTTCCTCTGCATTTTTAAATATACTATTTACCCTGCTATCATCCCTACACCCAAAATCCATAGCAAGAGATCTCCTTCCTTCCTCCTTCCTAACTCTTTACAAAGGTCTCCCAAACAAGAATACGATCTAACACACTTTGACCAAGAACAATGCGGACAGTCGAAACAAGGTGGAGAATGTGTTGTCCATAAGTACAAAGTAGTTGTTACTTGTCTATAACAGTGCTGAGAATTGTGCTGATAGGAGTTTTGAGAAAATCCTGGATTCTCCTAAGCAGGGCTTTTTTATTTCTACTGAAAATTGATAGATATACTCAAGTCACACCCCACCACCACAGCCCTTTAGCCCCATACAAAGGGCAATTTCGATTGCAGCAGACAGTTTTAAAACAGGCAAGTGCACAATTAAGGAAAACTAACAAATGCAAATGAGCTTAAGAGAATACCATTCTCACATGGCGCCCAAAAAACTTGTCTAACAACTCTCCCAACTATACAAGTTGTCCAAGAAAAGATATGCAAAAGCAAGGAGGTTTTGGTTATATTTCCTGAGCCATCACAGCTAAAACAGTTCAACCCTACTACAACATTCTTTGTTACTAGAAGTGCATCCATATCGGATCAACAACAATATAAAGAAAATTGACTGTATTGGAAATTGGCCTGATGCGGCCAATACATGCCTATGCACGTGCGCAGCTGCAGCACAGCACACAGACAGCGAGGAGCACAGTCCAGCAGGTTGGTACAACTGGTAAGTCTGTGGTGCTGGAAGAGAAGGGAGGAGGGAAGGGGCATGGAGGTGGGGGCACATCAATGTCCCCGACAGCAAGGGAGTGGGGCTGGCGCAGGGCAGGGCATGGAATGGAGCCATGGCTTGTCTGGGGAGCACAGGGAGGGGGAAGCTCCCACTCCTGTGTGCACCCCAGAAGGACATGGGGAGGCATGCCCTCAGATCTGCGCAGGGTGGGGCGGGGTGCACTGCTGCTGCAGGCTGGGGCCAGGGCTGCGCCAAGCTCTTCTCAGTGTGTGGGGGAGGGGGCAGGGGTTGGGCCAAGGCTGTGCTCTGGGCAGGTGGTGACACTGCTGGGAGGAGGTGTTTGGCAAAATTTGGACCATAGCCCCCCTCCCAGAACTGCTGCCACCCGCCCTGTGCGCAGCCCAGCTCAGCCCCTGAGAACCGCAGCCCACCCCGCACAGATCCAAGGGAACGTGACCCCTCCACGTGCCTTCCCGGAGTGCTCGCAGTGGTGGGAGTCACTCCCCCACCCCCTAGATGCGCCATGGCTCCATCCCGCGCCCACCCCAACCTGGCTGGGCAGCACCTGCCTCAGCCCCACTCCCTCCCTCACTGTGGGGGCAGTGATCTGCCTCCCCATGTCGTTTCCTTCTCCCCTCCCCTTCCACTACAACAGACTTACCAGCTGCATGCAGCTGTATCGGAATTCAGATCGGTATCAGCCAATATGCCTCCTTAAAAATTGGCTATTGGTATCGGTCCCCAAAATCTCTATCAGCCCACCCCTATTCATTACTGTTACTTTTTTTTGGTTTTTTTTAAACAGTTGAACTACTTGTATGTCTGTGCCCGTACCATGGAGATTATTTTGAAATATACTGAAAAGAAAATGTCCATCACCAAATGGGGTTTTGGTAGAGATGCACTGATATAATCAGTCCACATCATATCGGCATTGATAAAAGAAAAGTTGACATTATCAGCAATCAGCTTTTTTTGGCTGGTGTAGCTGACAATGTCACCGATAAATGCTGCATGCATGTGCACAGCTGCAGCATACACGTGGCCAGGAATTCAGCCTGGCAGCTTAGAGAGCAGGGTCCCGCTGGTAAGTCTATGGCAGTGAAGGCCCCCATGATGAAGGAGGGAATGGAGCAGGGGCTGGCACTGCACAGCTGGGGCAGGGTGCAGGGCAGAGCCGCGAGTGGCTCATCCAGAAGGAATGGGGGGTGGGATAGCTCCCCGCCACTGAATGCACCACCAGGGAAGGCATGGGAGGAGCATGTGCCCCCCAGGGTAGTGCATGGGGTGAGGGTGGGCTGCATCAGCCTCTTCCCAGGGGGGACTGGGCTGGGAGTGCACTTGGGGCAGGCGGGGGTAGCACAGCAGCAGCTCTGGGAGGTAAAACTGCAGCGAATTCTGGGGTGACTGTAATCCACCCCATAGTTCTCCCTCCCAGCCCCTTTGCTGGGAAGAGGTTGGCGTAGCCCTTGGCCTTAAGTGAGCAGTGGGCAACCTGCCTTCCCCCAGTGCAGAAATCTGGAGAACACGTGCCCCCCATGCCTCCCTCAGGGGTGCGCACAATGGCAAGGAGCCACTCTGTCCCACACCCTATCCCACCCTGGCTGGGCAGCACCAGCACCTGCCCCTGCCCCTGCCCCAGCCCCACTCCCTCCCTCACCATGGGGGTGTAGATCTGCCCCCTCCCCCACATCCCTTTCCTCCCACAGACTTACCAGCAGGACGCTATTCTCCAAGCTGCCGGGCTGCATATTGGCATTGGCTAATAAGGCTGGTTAATAACTGGCCATCAGTATCAGCCAAAAAAAATCTTTATCAGTGAACCCCTAAGTTTTGGTAGTTTTTCCAAAAAAGTCTTCCATATGTCCAGTCCACATCAACACTGTACTCAGGGGTAGAAAAAGAACACTTTCTCTGAAACAAACACATTCTGCTTTGTGTCCTCTATCACACTGCCTGAACTGCAGTCCATCAAGCCACAAAGTCCATAGGTCAAATTCTGCTTTCATACCTTGAAAGAAGTTTCAAAACTAGAATATGGCCCAAGAATACTTCAAGCCCCCTGCAAAGTCATTAACAATGGTAAAAGTAAGCAAAAAGGCTCTTAAAACCCATTTTAAAAATTCCTTCTTGTGTATGACCCCATACAAACAAAATAGGTAGAGATTAAGAACGAGAGATTTAAGATAAAGAAGTTCTCTATGTTCTAATGCTGCCTGCATCACTGTTTTATGAGAGCCTCCCAGCAGTAAAGAAACACCCGTAACTCAATCTCTTCCTTACCCCCAGGGGAAGAACTGTATTTGCACAGATAGATTTTGACATATAAATACTTCCCCTCTCCTCAAATACGTAGAAGTTCTGCTTAACAGAAAACACATGGTTAAAGTATAATTTTCTTTGCTGAAGATGTCTTTCTCCTTTGTTTACCTAATGAGCCCCTAAATCCTGGATTTTGTGTCCTCCCTATTCAGGTGATACATTTGCAACTGAAGTGAAGATTTGGCTCTCTTTCTTTTCAGCCCTGGAAAGTGAAATATGGGTATTCTGGGTAACAGTAAATTGCAAAGATGTTTGCATATAGATGATATAGATATTTATTCATATATTCTATTAATAAGAGTAATAAGAATTTCAAATGGATGTTGCAGGGACTAATTAAACAACCACACCTAACTTACTACTTCTACTTTCTGCTACTGTATTTCTGTTTGAAATACTGTGCACCTTAAAAATAATATCAGAAAAAGAAAAGCCATAAAACCCATTAAGACCAAAATCTGGCAAATATCTATTGTGCGGAAACTACCAAAAAAACCTTACAAAGAAAAACAAGTTGTTATACCTTTTTCATAAGTTTTGCCATTGGTGTATTTCCTCTCCACTCTTTTTGGCAGTACTCCACGATATCCATTTCAGGTGCAACACTTAGCTTATTTTCTGTTGAGATTGATCACATGTGATATGCACGTTATATTAAAGGGGAACTCTGAAACAACTCAATTATGTAGTGGTTATATCTAGTACTTCAAGAAGTTCTAGCTTAGTTGAAAATAGTTACCAATCTAAGAGCAGCTGACTGTAGCATATTGCCTAGCTAACATAATATATCTTCTGTTAGTATTGGACAGAAAAAAAAAAACCCTCCGGAAATCAGTGTGCAAGCAGAAGATATGATGGTGGTGGTGAAGATGCCCCATGACCCCAAAAAGCAGCACAAGGAAAAGACCAGTTGGCTCTCCCACCACTTCAGCAGTCAAAAAAGGCAGCGGGAAAGCTTGTTTTCTTCACTTCAGCAGTTAGATTACAGAGACACACACAAGACACTCCATATTTACATAGGGCATGTTAAGCACAATGGAAAGCAAGCAAGAAAGATGGGAAAAATTAGCTTCCCCAGAAGAGGTGAGGAACACAAAACTTCATGGGAATTCCACTGGCTTCCTTTCAGATCATAGGCACTGAAGCAAGAGCACTCCTGAGGGACTCCCAATGACACCCTTTCATACTGTCAACTGGTTAGTAGTATTTGTTAAAATGATACATTTTTACAGAAAAGGTACCAGCACAATATACAAATATCAATTTTCTACCAGGTCAAAAGAACTTTTAAGAAAAAAAAAAAACTAGGTAGATTGGGTAGTCTGAAACATGATTCAATGTGAAACAGAATTTAGGATGAATAAAAAATTGTGTTGCACTCCACTGTGAGATGCATCTCCAATGCATGTATACATTCAGCAGCCAAATCTTTGGGGATGAAGGAACAAAGCTATACAAACTAATATTATTATAAGCTATTCTGTTGTGTGAAAGGCCATATAAATGAAAGTCAGATATACCTGTGAAGCCTGTCTCACAAACAAGTAATACTTTTTCTCTCTCTATTTCTTCTGCATCACGATACATGTCCTCCTCACTGCAACAACATTGACACACAGTTCATGTAATACCACAAATCATACTGCTGTTGAAATTTACTCCATTTACCACTGTATAAAGCTACTTAATCATAATTCCCTCAAAATATTACAAGAGAATTCAATGTCCTCCTGAGATCCACATCTATGCATTTTTAAAATGAGGAAACAAAGCATGAATAATCTTGATGCCCTGGGAAAAAAAATCAGTTATTAATAATCATATATACATGTATAAACATACACACATTAGTGCAGCGATAGAGTATACCTTACTGCAGTGATTCATTACAGGAATGGATAATAGACCAGAGAGAAAAAGGATGGGTGGGTGGGTACATGCCTTAAGAAGGATGTTTGTGCCCGCAAGCTTTTAAAGAACAATTTTTCCAACTATTTAGTCTAATAAAAGATAATCACATTTACCCAAAGCACCTTGTCTGCCTATATTATATAATAACATATATTGTATAATATATATGATATTATAGGCAGATGAAGGGTAGGGTGGGGGGGTGTTTATTTTAAACACTCTCCCCTCTGGTCTGTCATCCATGCCTGTAATAGATCACTGCACAAGCATATACCCTGCTGCTGGTGTCAACCCCACTGGAGACTGAAAGGAGTGGTACAATAAATTCCATTTTTATTAGAACAAGCATCATAAAATATATGTTAAACTAAAAGCTACTGAATTTACCATAACATTATATAAAGGCTCCACTACATAAAAGGGGTTAAATGTCAGCTGTAACATATCTAGCAGATGCCTTAGCATGTATTCAGGCTGAGCGGGAACTCATAAACCGTAATTATTTTAGTGTCTGGAAATTTAAAGGAAAAGACATTTTAAATGATACATATTCCTTCAAATCTGATTCTGCCAGGTATTCAGCATTATTACATAATAAGCCAACCTACACAATTCTTAGCTGTAATATTTCATTAAAAAGTTACCATCAAGTACATTATCTATTTATTTGGTTTTGTTCTTTTGGGTTTTTTTTAATAGTAAATGGAATATAACATTTCACTCACTCTAAAACTAGCAAGTACCCATTTCAGTAGAAGGAAGAAATTCCCAAAATTTGTACATGCGTATTAATTTTAACAACAATTCTAGCTTATCTGTCTATTATTTGTGTCCAGTAAGGTCAACAACATGATCAGTACTCAAACAGAAACCAACCTAATGCTCCTGACACAAAGAACTTACACAAACGAGACAAGACAGGCAGCTGAAAGCTTTAAAAAAAAAGGAACAACAAATAAATTACTGTGACTAAGTGATAACTGGATACACTCTGGTAAACCAAAATGTGAGCCACGTTGTTACTTATGGCTTCACATCCATGCCAACTTATCTTACACAATTATTTCTGAACTTGTTTGCAAAAATAAGTAAACCTTTTTCTCATTAGCTTTCACCCACGCCATAACGAGAAGCCAAAAATGTCTTACTGTTGCTATCAGAGTTCTAGAGCAGTTTTCCTTCCTAATCATAAGAAAGAGATGGAAGGGACCTAGGCAAGTCCATCTCCTAGCCCTAAAGCAGGATTAAACTATACACAAATCATTCCCAAAAGACTTATGTCCGTCTTGCTCTACAAAGCTTCTAATGAAGATTACATCATCTACAAGCTCCCCAGGTAATTGATTCCAGTCTTAATTACTTGGGAATTAGAATGTTTTTCTACTAAGTTTACACTCTCATTTCAATTTAAAACTACTACTTTTTGTTCTCGCCCATGCAGGGAACAGTTTATAAGCTTTGTTTCTTCCATCATCTTTTACATAGTTTACAACTTCTTTTCTATTCCCTTAACTGAAAAAAATCCAATCCTTTCAATCTTTCCTCACAGGTTGTATTTTCTAAATATCAATATAGACATACATAAATATACAAACAGGAGTATGATATCATATATGATACTCAAACAAGAATATGACATAAAACAGAAGCATCATAAATATACCTCACAGCATGGGCTTGGATTTTGCAAGTGTAACATTCACAAGTTTTGTGAGTTTGCTATATATTATAATCCCTAGATCCCCTCCTTGTAACACTGCTGCCTGGCCAGTCATGCTGCGTTTCCCTTATTTCTCAACACTTTGAATTCCAATTATATTTTCCAAAGTGCATGCAAAACCTTTCCATCTTGGTATCATCTGCAAATACAATAGTCTGGAAAGATTTTTTTTTTATTTTTTTATTTTTTTTATTACTAATGGTAAAATAATATAGCCTTATTACACTGCATTATGGCATAGTTATATTTTCTTCCAGAGAAATATCATTCTACAAAGGAAAAAAAGTATTAGGCATAGCTGCCAGTAAAGGAGATCAGACCAGCAAGCTTGTATCTTCATGCAAGCAGAGATATAATTTTCAGTTTAGCCTCTACTAAGCCTTGAAACTTTCTATGACTGGAAGGTCACCTAATTACATACAGTACTTGGGTCCAAGTTAATTGGCCTTTGTTATCTTTTTCCTCTCTCACCTTATTAACAAATGTTTTTTATTTGAGAGAACTCAGCTGAGATTCTTCTAGGACAGTATCTGGCCTGCGGCGCAGATGTGGCCTGCAAAGTCAGTGTGAACAGCCCATTACCAGCATGTCAGCACAGGTCAATGCTTCTGTATTCAGCAACAAGGGAACGGAGGATAGGAGTAACAGCAGCATTCCCCCATGCAGACATACCAGCTCCAGAGCACAGGATATGAGTGCAGCCACTTTCACAACCGTGCCACAACAAATGACTTCAGCCATAGGAATCCCTTATAGCAGGAATAAGCAGCAGCCGCACTCAGCTGCTAGGCTCCAGCGCTGTGTAAAAAAGCTCTGAGTTCACTGGTGTGTCAACATGAGCTCTGGCTAGAAACGCATCTTTCATGAAGCTCCAGAGCCCACAAGACGAGCTTGTTTCCTCTTTTCCCTGCCACTGAATAAGTGAGGAAAAAGCAGGGTGGGGGAGACAAATGGCAGCAAAACTCAGATCCTGGGAAACAGAGCCCCATGAAAACTCTGACAGATGGAATAGGAAAGGCAGTTGAGACCCACTCTTGGCAGTCCTATGTGCACACACCCACAGGGTTCTGGCATACAGCACTGACTAAAGAACCTGAAAAAATACGTTATTTCAAAGAAATACACCAGGGCAGAGTACAGTCCCACTCCCATGTTTCCAAAGCCCATGGCTCAGTTTCCCAACTTTTACTGTCTATATCAGGGGCAGGCAATTATTTCGCGTGGAGGGCCGCTTACTGAGTTTTGGCAAGCTATCGAGGGCCACATGAAAGGCAGCCAGGGGCAGATAAATATTAATTTCCTAAGGTTTTGGGGGCCCTGTGGGCTGGATAGAATGGCCTGATGGGCCACATCTGGCCCGCGGGACGCATTTTGCCCTCCCCTGTTCTATATACAGATACATTCATTAATGGTTGTGGAGCACTCTGATACTAGGCAAATGAATAATTTTTAAAGGATTATAAAAAGATGAGCACAGCTGTTCACTGCTGGATTTTGACAGGTTTTCAATAGATATTCTAGTAGCAACTCCTAGTCTAATGAAGACAAAAATTAAATACTGAAGGGTTGCCTCATTTCCAGCCCACTGAAACAAGTGGCGCAAAAGCATAAAGGTAAGTTATGATATGGCATTTAGTATATTATTTTTTCAAGCTGTTCAGTGTTTGATCCTGTAAGTTACCATACGCACTCAAATAGAAGACAGCCCTGATTATAAGAAAACCCTCTCCCCCCACCCCTGCCCTTACACAATAACTAGATTCTATATATGGAAAATGTATAGATTTGTTATAATTTTCCAGGTATAGAATATCATTATTGGAAGTCTGCCTTCAATTTGTCCCCTTTCCACTGCTACAGCAGGAAAAATAAACCTGGGGGATAAGGTAGCCTTTTGTTCCTCCCCCCAAAAACATTTTCCCCTGGCAGGCCCTTCCCCCACCCCTTACTGTCAGAACCTGCTCTCCATGACAGCACAGAAGTGAAGAGCAAATTTGAAAACAATAACCTTGAAATTAAACAGGAATGTTGCAATTTGCATATAATGTACCTCAAGATTTAGCTCAGTCAGAATTGATTTGTGTTACCTTTTTCTGAAGCTGCTGTAAGTTTTAGCACAGGTGTTTCATAAATACAGTTTTGAGCAGCACTTCAGCACCTGCTCACATCTAGTATAAACCCTGCATGGTATTAACCCAAAGCCAAAAAGCTCATGATCTGCCATATAGTTCAATGTGCTGGGCCTAACCAGAGTGAACAACATTTCAAACCATATTAACCCATGACATTGGGTACAGTTCTCCCAAAATCCCTTTGTTGCACCCTCTCTCAGCCTGGTGCACATGATTCATGTGGCACTACCCTCCACAGTGACCCCACAGCTCAGCACTACTCAGTATGTGTGTATACCCCATATATCACCACCACCCCCCCCAACCCAAAGGATCCAGGTGCTAATTCATGACTGGTACTGGGCGTTGAATGATGAGTTCTGGGATGCTCCAAAAATTTATGTGCAGATGAGGTGCAGTGTAACCTGGTTCAGCTTTACCTCACAGAGGGTGGGGCCACACTAATCATGTGTGCAAGGCTGGGAGGGGGGCCAACAGAGGAAATATAGGTAAGCAATGTCACGGCTCACCATGACAAAAAAGTGTTAGCAGTGAGGGGGACTGAGCTTAATGGACCTACCATATGTCTTACTCAGATGGGTTGCACTTACCTATCCTTATGATAGACTGATGGGGACCTATTTGCCCAATACGGGCCCTATGTTTTAGAGTGACACTCATGGTTGGCTGCATTTAATCAACTTTTTAGTTGGCTTCCCTCGCTGGGTACACACTGATTTTGGCAGCAGTTTAAGGGTAGACGATACATTTAGTAAGATTTCCTAGTATGCAGTTATAAGATGAGGAGTATTTTCCCCCCATGCCAATGGGGGGAAACGCATCTTGTATTAGAGTAATTATATTAAATTGAGTTCTTCTAAGGTAATGCATTTGAACTTAGCCTACAAGTGGCTGAGAAGTAATTAAGTTAAACATTCTATACAAAAAGGTAATGTTAAATTTTAATTTATAATAATTACTCCATCACCTTGTTAGATGTTGGCTAATAAGTAGGGATGTGTGAAATTGGATACATTCGATTCGGATTCAGCCCGAAACAGGGACAGTAATTCAATTTGTTGATTCAGATAACGGTCCCCGATTTGATTTGGCCGAATCCAAAGGTTCGATGCTGAATAGGAGAATCAGCGATTCAGCCACAGACACAGCTTTAAATGTTTTTTCTACATATCTTAAGGTACCAGATGTGGCTTGTGAATGCTGCAATGCTGGGGCAGATGAAGCGTCCCACAGGAGCGCAGGCCCCCTCCCCATGTGCTTGGTGGCAAACCCTGAAGTAGACCAGAAGTACTTTCAGTCCACCTCCAGGTCCACCACCAAGCATGCAGGGGACCCCCCCAAACCCAGGAGACACCAGTTAATGAGCCGGGGGGGGGGGAGGGGGCCTGCATGCTCCCCAGTGGACCCATAAGTGGACTGGAAGTGCTTCTGGTCCACTTCTGGGTCTGCTGCCAACCGCACTGGGGAGCCCCCCACAGTCCTGTGGGATGCTCCATCCACCCCACCATCACAGCATTCACCAGCTGCCTGGTACCTTGAGTTATGCAGAAAAAACATTTAACGTGTCTATGTCCAAATCGCCGAATCTTTCCTAATCTCTCCAAATCCATTCAGAGGATTCCGATTCAATTCACGGAGACTAAAGCATTCCCTGATTCAATTTGGATTCAGAGATTCAGCCACCGAAAAATCAGGCCAAATCGAATCAGGGACCAAAGCTTCGCACAGTCCTGCTAACTAGGCAAGAATACCACTTACATAACAGTTTTAGGGAATAAAACAGTTGCATGTAGAAATTCCAGCAATTTAATAAATACGTTTTTTGAACCAATTTAACTCAACAGTGCCTTTATGTGGGTGTTTGAAATCAGCCTGTAAGTAGTTAATATGGTTGGGTATTACTTTGGTACCACCTGGAGCGCACACAAAGGTACATTTACTTTGCTAACACATTACAAGGAAAACAATGCCTTCAGTTTTAAATTAACTACTTAAACAGCAAATTCATGTAAACATGCAAACTGGCAGCCAGCATTTACATTAATTCACTTTATCTATCTAAAAAGAAAAAGGTTTTCTGATGTGTACCCTAAGAAAGATAGTGAGCAAATGATTTTTCTATTCACTGAATTTTGAATGGTGTTCGATAAATAAAACAACAAAAGAATGAAAGTAAAATGCAGCACTTTCTTCCTCTTCCACTTCTCCAAATACTGTAAGGGAACAGGAAAGCATAGCCATTCTTACTCAAATATGTGACGTTTTACTTTTAATTGTTTGCAATGACCTTTTAATACATTAATACATAAATACAGGCCTTTGATAACTCCAGCTTCTTAAAAAAAAGAAGTTCTACTCGTTAAAAGAGTTATACCTTATGTTTAACGATAGACACAGATGCTTGTGGTCCTTATACCCATTTCAGACAAAGAGCCTTTTACAGGATCTTCAAACCAGCACTTTGCAGCAGATGCTAAAAATTTTAAGATTATAAAAGAAATCCTTAATCTTAGCATTCTCTGTTTCTAAAACTGGTTCCCTGATTAAGGGTACTACCTATTTCTACATCTGTCAACTTCAAGCCTCTCTCAGATTAGTGAAGTGAATGACACATGGTCCACCTACCCAAAAGATACTAATGAGCTGTGGACACATCCCCGCAACCTCAAGAAATTAAAAGATTCAACAAGTATCCTATACAGAAGTAATAAACAGCAATTATTTAAGCAGATCTAGTACCCCATTCAGCAGTTATGCTCATTTTATTAACAAGACATTAGTATTGTAAACCACAACAAAGCTAATATGATAAAAACTCACTTATCTACAGTTAACTCCATAGCTGAAGAGTTGCTAAAACCAGGCAAGTTCACTTCACAGTTTTCACAAACAGCTTGGTGGGTCAGAAATGCCTTCATGTCATGTGTCTCAGAAATTCTTCTGTGACTTTTATGTGTACATTCTTCTTTGATTTCCACTGCATGCTTCCCTTTCTGGTGTGTGGCTACACTTGCTGAGCAAGATTCATCACTTGGAACATAAAATTCTTTTTCATTTTTTGTCAAGCAGAATATAGTAGTCACTTCATTCTGTCTCTCTTCCACATTGGCAGAAGAGCCATTGGGTTTGTTTGTCTTCTGTTCCAGTCTATCCTGACTTTGAAGAAATACATAAATATGTAAGTTTCACAGAAAATCAGTAAGAGCATGCATTTGTTCCCTGGAGTATTTTCACTAAAGTTGCGGTATTGTGATGCACAAAATAATCACACATGCTGTCAGTGTAATGACAGCCAATCATTTTAAACAAACCTAGCAAAAAGCCACTGTAATAAGAACACAGGACTAGCCCATCACCTTGCCAATGCATGGTTCTTCCCCATAAACCACAGTTTGGTAACCTGGGACCTGCAGGATGGATCCCACCTGTGGAACCTTTTGATCTGACCTGCAGGCATGGGTGGGGCTCTGCTGGCAATGGGGGCCTTCCCCATGTCGCTGTGGGGAAAAGCAGCAGGGGTGGCTGGGTCCTAGCAACTACTCTTCTACCTGCCTTTGACATGAACTGGATCAATCCAGCCACAGCCTTAAAAAGATCACCAGCTGCCATTATAGCCTATTTTCCTAGCAAAATTTTAAATGTTGCTATCCAAATGACCATTTCTTAGCTTAATATCTCTATGTAAGGTATCTCTTACATACCTGCAGTCTCCAATAACAAACATCCCCTTGTATACCATTTCTGTATTGTAACTAATGGAAGTGTTCTACTAGACAGCAGTCCAAACACAAGTATAATTTAAACACCACTGTTCTATTGCTTTCAGTCCAGCCAAAAATAAGTCCAAAGAATAGCCTTCAAGCACTTTCTCTAAGACCATTTTTCCTTAATTTTCAGACATTTTTATCTGCAGAAACAATCCTGAAATCATGTGAACTACTAAAACACTTCACTGATTTCACTCTTTTCAGATCACTGCTTTCATGATTCTCCTCTCATCATACTGAATATTCTCAACTTTACTCACTACATAATGAAATTTTTTAATAGCTTTTCAATCCTGAAACCAGTTAAGCTTTTTATTTTCCACATAACTGCACCTGACAGAGAAAGATCACCAGTTATTGCAAGCTATAGGTGTTACATCCACCACTTAACAGTAACAATCTGTTAAAATATATGTATTAGTTTAACACTGGCTGTGTTCCCATTAAAAAAGTTATAACTCCTTCACTAATCATAAATTCTTCCACTTTCACCATTACCCTTCAGGTGGGTACTCTGTGCCTGGTCATGCCCACACGAGCTGACACTTAGCTGATGCTGGATCGTCAAGGTCTACACTTCCAGTGCCTGGATAGTTCTGCTGTTCCTCAAACACTTTCAGTTTCAATTTATTTCAGACCCTGAGAGGTAGCACAGTTCAGCAAAACAGGCTTAAGACTTGAGAGAGAAATCCTTGCTTCCTTTTCACCCATGGCTAAATCACCTCACAGCTCTGCTCCTCCATGACTAAATTAGGCTGAAGTACTTATGCGTGGGCACGGCAAGAACTGATGTTTGCCAAATGTTTTGTACCTGAAGAAGTATCAGAGCACTAAGATGTCAGCACACAAGGTTTTGCATGACCACAGGGAAGTAGAGCTGGAAGGTCACCTAGCCCAACCTCCATGCTCAAGGCAGGATGGTCCCTGCCTAAGCCATCCCAGAGAGATACTGTCAGCTAAATTAATCTCAAGTCAAGTAGAAGGCAGGGTAGATTTGCACGTTACAGACTAACTGAAGTGTGCATGTAACACACACACACACAGGCACCTCTTCCACATGCATGCACGTGCACATATAATGAATCCACAGGTGCGTGTGCATATACAAGTGCAATTAACCCATCCGGGTGTGCACAGCCATGCATGCATGTACAATTCACGTGTGCACCTAGGCATGTGCAGTGACCGTGTGTACACGCGTCCATATGCAGGTGTGTCGCGGCCCCCACTCACTCTCCCGGGGCCGCCTCCCACTCCTCCGGCTGCTGCTGCTCCGGAGCGGCCCCGCCTAGCCGGCGCTCGTGGCCTGGGCCGAGCGTTGACCCAGGCCCGGGGGAGGAGCCCTGGGGAGGAGGCAGGGACCAGTCAGCGGCAGCGGCGCTCGGACCCAGCCCCAGGCCACGAGGCCCCGCCGCTGGCGCGCCCCCGGGCACCATGGCAACGCGCCCCGCGCGCGAAGTCAAGGCCTCCTGCATGCAAGGAGTTAAGACTGAGGGCACCCTGGCACGGCCACTCCCCACGCTCGCGCTTACCCACTTCCCGCCGACGCCGCGCACTCCGGTGACGTACCCGCTTCCTGGCGTCTACCGCGCGACTAGAAGGTAAACATCCGCCACATAGCCCCTCCCCCTGGACCCTGCACCGGAAATACATCCGCTTCCTTTCCCCCTTCCAACGGACTAAATACAGCTCACCAATCGCCGCAAGCCGGAGATATCGTCACCTTTACCCGCTCCTCCACTATGCTAATAGCGCATGAGCGGAAGTTATTCCTTTAGCCGACTTGTTTCCTCGCTCCCCCAGCCCAGTGCCCGGTTGGAACGCATGAGCTGCGACACCAGAAAAATAGAACTACGGCCCGACTTGTCATTACTCTTCGGCCTGGCCCGTAGGCCTGAAGCTGATGGGCGAAACCAACTGCAGAGGTGGAGGAGGGCACTACATCCGGCCCTTGCGGCATAGGAAGTGCCAGGGCTTCCTCTGCTAGGGCAGATGCATGAGAAGGCAGGCAAAGGTGCGCCTTCACAGACTAGCCCAGTCATATTTTTACACACGCACATTCTAATATAAAAGATTTAATCTGCCTGTCTGTCCATAAGGCTTTATTCACACACTAGTTGGCTGACAACCAACCAGAGTGCGAATGCAGTGCTGGGACCAGACGTGGCAGTGCAGTGGAGCGTGCCACACAGGACAGAGCTGCGCTGGCCTTGGCCCCCTGCCACGCTCCCTGGAGGTGGCAGGAAAGGAGGGGGAGTGGGGTCAATGCGATGAGGGGGACAGGCCACCAGGACTGGCCTCAGCCCACCCTTCCCCCTTCCATGGTCACCATTGGCAGAGCTGGCATAGTGATAGGTGGAGGGGAGAAGCATGCCCGACATGGGGGAGGGGCAGGCCCCAGGGTGAAGACAAGCAAGGCCACCACAGCAGGGGGGAGGAGCAGCGGGCCTGGCCTGACATGGCAGCAGTGGTGGAAGGGGAGGAGCAGGCCTCCTCCCCCGTCACCCTGAGCCTGTTTGTCCTCCTGCTGCCATGTTGGCCCAGGCCTCCCACCGCAGCGAGCTAGCTTCTCCCCACCCTTGGGCTCAATCCTCCCCCATAGCCCCCACATTGGGCCCAGGCCTGCTCCACTCCTCCCCTGTGCCACCACAGCAGGGAACGGGAAATTGGCTCTGGGGCAGGGGCCGGACACAGAAGTCTGTCCCTGCCCATGGCCCACTCCCCCCCTTGTTCTTGACGGGCAATTGGATAGTGGACACACACACACACACACACTCTCTCTCTCTCTCTCTCT